CCGCTGGCCCCGCGCCCCGCCGCCCGACCCCGCGAGAAACTCGTCCCGGCAGTGGAGCGCCGGGAAAGAAAGCCCGCGCCTGCCCCACCGCGTCGCCTCCCGCCACCCGGAGGAACCGTCTGTTCCTGAAAGGTCGTCCCAGCTCTGGGTTCTACCGTCGGGAAAGGAATTCGGGACGCCTGTCCTTACCCTTGAAAAGTGGCGGGAGAACACCACAGGCTTGGTGCCCAGGTCAACTGCCGTTTGTGAAGGCAGCGGAAAGAACTAGAAGCTTCTATCTCAGAACCTCAGAAAAGCCGGAAATGCCGTACCGCGCAAGCGCAGCACGTGGGCGGTTAACGGTTAAATAACGGTCGCAGGCGCGAGCACGCCGGGCGCAGGATCTGTGTCTCGCGAGATTTCCCTCTGCCCGCCCGCAATAGTCCCCGCAGTGCTTTCCCCGATTCTGTTTTAACTCAAAGGTGTTTAGTTTCTACTATTGTCAGAAAAAACGCTAGGAAAACTTAGGCGTAGAGTAGAGGAGCTAAGAATAAAAAGACTATTTCTGTTTCCTACGCGCTCACAGTCTTAGGAAGGTAATACGTGTGCACTGTGTTGTGTAATCATTTAATGGTTTATAGAGTCGCGGCGACATAGGGCAAGAGCCATTGAAGGTGGCTTGGGAAGAACCAAGCGGGTTCGCAGGTGCTGCTTGCCTCTCTTACCGCTCCAGGGGACTAGAAGAGTAAACAGTGTTGGCTGGGTAGGCAGAAGGGAAAGGATATCCTTGAATGACTGAGTGGGCAAAAGCTCTGGAGTTGTGAAAGAGACTGGTGTCCAAGAAGTGTGGCGTGTGTGAGGATCAAGTGGGGGAAACAGCAAGAGATGAGACTGCAGATGTTGAGAACAGATATGGAGGCCCTGCATAGATGCATTTGGATTTTAGATTGTATGGATGGGTCTTCAAGAGATTTTGAGCAGAAAGGTTGGCACAATCCCATTCACAAGAAAATCTGTTAGCATGAAGAAAGGCTTAGGCATATGAGCCAGAAGTTGTTGGGACAGTATTTTTATTTTTTGCTTTTTTTTTTTTGAGACAAAGTCTCGCAATGCAGTTCAGGCTGGCCTTGAGCTCACTTTGTAGCCCACGCTGGTCCTGAACTCGCAGGGATCCTTCTGCCTCAGCCTCTGGAGTGCTGGGATTACAGGCCTGTGTCACCACGCCTGGCAGGACATGCTCATTTAAATCCTTTTTTTGTTTGTTTGTTTTTTTTTTGTTTTTGTTTATGTGGTTTTTCTGCAATTCCTAAGACATGTACAATGTTGTTTGAGACAGGGTTTCATTAAATTGCCCAGGTTGATCTTGCACTCAAGATCCTCCTACCTCAGCCTCCCCAGTGCTAGGATCACAGGCGCTGCCACCGCCAGGAGCTTCTGGGAGAGTTTTAATTGCAATGGCATGCGGGTGAGACATTGGAGGACAGCTATTCCTGGGCGGGAGATGAGGTGTCAACTGGAAAAGATATGAGAGAAGTAAAATTAATGGGAATTTCTAGCTTTTTAATGAGTGAGAAATGAAAGGGAGAGAGAAGGGAAACTAGATAGATCATTATCCTGGTGTTAATTTAACTACCTAGGTTTTAACAATAAAGTAATGAGGTCTGTTTCAGATAGACTAATTTTGTTTTCTACCTTTTTCCAGGTATCATAACTTAATTGATGCTTTTCTGAAGGATGTTAACAGCATTTTTAAATAACACATTTTGTTTTGTATAAATTATCAAATGTAATAGTTTCTGCTAAAATTGTAACATTTTTGAGCTGGAATTGATGATCCAGTTTTATTTATTCATTTTACATTTTAAGAAAACTGGGTCTACCAATAAAAAAAAAAAAAAACGGGCAAGTGAAATGGGCACTTCACAGAGGAAGTACAAATGGGCAATGAATATATGAAGAAGTGCTCGACATTGCTGACCATTAGAGAAATACAAATTAAAACAACACTGAGATTCCATCTTGCCCCAGAAAGCATCTGGGGCAAGAAATCAACCAATAACAAATGCTGGAGGGGCTGTGGGGGAAAAGGATCCCTTCTCTACTGTTGGTGGAATGTAAACTAGCACAATTTGTATGGAAATCAGTATAGAGATTCCTCAAGAAAACTAAAACTACAAATTGCCTTTGACCCAGCTATTCCACTTCTAGGTGTCATCCGAAAAGAGATAAGATACATCATAGTACAGTGATACATGCATATCCACGTTCATAGTAGCACAATTCGTAATAGCTAAATCTTGGAAGCAGCCTCTATGTTCATCAACAGATGAATAGATAAAGAAAATGTGTTATGTAACACACAATAGAGTATTACTCTGCCATAAAGAGAGATATACTGTATTTGAGTCATTTATAATAAAATGGATGCACCTTCAGACCATAATGTTAAGTGAAATAACTTAGACATAAGAGCTTAAATATCACATGGTGTTTCCTATATGAGAAACTCAAAGTATAAGTAAAGAGCAAAATAAAAGATAGTAGGAAGTAGGGAGGCAGATCTTTCTCAAAGGGGAAAGGTGATCAAGAGATGGAGGGCCGGAGATATAGCTCAGTAGTACAAGTGCCTGCCTGGAAAGCACAAGGTCCTGAGTTCAATTCCTGGTACCAAAAAGAGAGAGAGAGAAAGGAAAGGGAATGAAAAAAAGGAATTAAGATGAATTATGTCCACGTACTAATGCCATACAAGGAATGGAAACATTATGCACTGCAAACGTGCAAACAGGAAGGAATCAGGTGTTGAATGGAGGGGACAGGAGGGAAGGAAAGGGAGATGAAAGAAAGGAATTAAGATGTATTATGTACATGGACCAATTTGTCCTAAGAAATGTAAACATTGTGTACTACAGACGTGCACTAATAAAAAAGGAAAATAAAATTGGGTCAAGGCACTCCAAAAGAAAAAAGACATTCCTGAAAAATGATACCAAGAATGTACACAAGGCACCCCAGGGGGGAAATGACTGATCTAATTAAGGTTTTTGAAGCTGAGGGCATAAATTTTTTTTTTTTTTTTGGTTTTTCTCCGGTACTGGGAACCGAACTCACGACCTTGTGCTTGCCAGGCAGGTGCTTTGCCACTGAGCTAAATCCCCAGCCCCCTAAAGGCATAAATTTAATATGACAGTTTTGGCCAGACATAGTGACCAAATCCAGTATCTGTTATCCCAGCACTTGAGAGGCTGAGGCAGGAAAATCACAAGTTGAAGGCCAGCCTGGGCTATATAACAAATTCAGTGCCCATCTGAACTATATATCAAGACCCTGTCTCAAAATACATATACACATAAATAAATAAATAAATAAATAAATAAATAAATAAATAAAATGAGACTAATTGTCAACTTTTAAAAATACAATAATTTTGGAAAAGTTTGCACCATAGTAAAAAAAAATTAAATATGCTGTTTTTCTTTATTGAAAACCAAAATGCTACTTCTAATATTTTGGGAGTTTTAAAAAGTTTATTATTCTTATATTTCTTATTCTCATTTCACAGGACAGGCATAAAGGAACAAGTAGACCGAGAGTCAGAAGTGGAAAGTATCTGGAATTTATTGTATTTTCCCTTTTCCTTAAAGACACTCATGGGACCACCTGCCCAAAGGATGGGTGTGTCCCACTGTAGGTCTTACAGTCATCTATGTTAAAATTCTCCATTACTCAATGTATGTGAGGCTGACTTATCATGTTGTTTTCATCCTCATTGTCCTTAAATCAAGGAAGCCTTAAATGGAAAGCTTCATGCAGCCATAGGTGGGGCTTTTGGAGGTGGCTGAATCTAGGGTGTGTGCTGCTGGGATCAAACATGTGATACTGGGATTGATTCAGGTGTGATGCCAGGGTTAACGCTGCCCCATGCTAGGCATGAGCACTACTCACCAGCGAGTAGCCTGGATAAACTATAAGGGCAGAAAGAGGGTCACAGCTTGTTGCTTGTAGCTTGCCGCTTTTGCTGCCTTCTACCTGCTGTGAAGAAACTAATTCATTGATCTTTTGTTCTCCTCTGTGATGCCCCACTGCCATGCCACCCTGCCTGGGAGCCAGCTAATTATAGACTGAAACCCCTACAAACTGTGAACTAAATAAACCTTTCCTCCTTTAAGTTTGGGTGTCAGGTATTTTGTCTCAGCAATGAGAAAAGTAACCATGACAGAGAGACATATAGAGTCCAAAGTCATGCCGCAGTTTGCCTCCAGGCTGGCTCACATCTTGTGGTGGTAAGATGTCATAAGATGGAGTCTGAGGAGTTGGCCTAAAGAGAGTGGTAACCTTGAGTCAGCCCACTGAGCAGGCAAGCCTCATCACTGAAAAGAATTTCAGGACTCATCAGTGAGACCATAGAAAAGTTTTATGGGGCAGAATTAAAATACACTCAAAGGAAATAGTGTGGGCCCTCAAAAGAGTGCTCCTAATAGTATGATAAGTTAAATTCATAGTATTTTATTTACTTGAATATCTAATTATTCAAAAATAAATTGCCACCATAGAATCTCTCACGTCTATGTATCTCACATGAAGTCTAACATATGAACATCCTATTCCTGTAAAGACTATAATATTGTGGCAAGGGTTGGGGATGTGGCTCAGTGGTAGGGCTCCTACCATGCATGCACAAGGCCCTGTGTTCAATCAAAGCACCACAAGAAAAGGAGATAAAATATTGTGGCAAGCTCAGGTTTTAAGTCTTCATTACTATTACAGATGTTGAAACATATCGAAATATTTTCTAAATGAATGAGAAGGAAATCATGCTAATTTCCCAATATATGTTAAAGTAATTTTTAAATTTGTTATTTTAATTTTTCAATATCTTGCATCATGAATTTTTCAATTTATAAGATCTTTTTTAAGACACTAAGATAAGGGAAGAGTTTAACAAAACTTTGCTTTCCTTTTAATAATTCATAAAATGTTCTGGTAAGAATAGGTTTTAAAATATTATTTCTTACACTATCAGTCTGACCCTAATTAATTAGGGTCACAAACTACCTTATCCTAATTACAGTTGTTTCCACTAGCTAGCCTTTTTTATGTCTATAAGTTACTTACCTAAATTAGTGCAATTTCTCCAGGCAACTATTGTGGTTCCCTTTAAAGGAATGATACAAAATCAGTAGCCATTGCTTACTGTGAATCCAATCTTAAAAAGAATCCTGGATGTCCACTTAATGATAGTCCTATATTCCACAAAATTTGATGAGCACAGATGTTGTTGATTTTAGGGTATTATACTGGTAACATACCACTCTTGCTCATATTCTTCAAACCAGTCATCCAATACAAACCCCAACATTCTAAAATTTTAGCAAT